GGGGGGGGATTCTGATCCTTGCCTTGGGAGGTGAAGCCAGGAGGGTTTCATTTTTAAGGGGTGATGCACAGGTGGTGCTCAGTAAGAGAGTTTGTGGGTCCAAGGAAGAGGGGGGGGATCTCACCTACGGTGCGTTACACGATAACTTGTTTAAGCGTATTTCCTTCAGTCCCACTGAGAGTTTCTAAGCCTTGTTCTGAGACATGGGGGGCTGGTCTGCAGTTTGACACTATGCTGGGTGGGTGACCTTCCCCTCCTTTCCCCATGGCCTCTGCTAGTCCTGCACACTGGCAAAAGGTGGTTCATCATCTGCCCCGTGGTTGAGTCCCCGACACCCGATGAGAGGAAGCCTTCAGCCGCGGCCAGTTCCTCAGCACGGGTCACCGCACCGCAGGGTGAGACGCTCACTCACACACACATCCACACACGCGCACACTCTCTAAGGAGACATTAGGAGTGTCCTGTCCTGTCACAGACCGTGACGCTGCACGTCTGCTGTATTTGCACAAACCCGGCTCATCCACTCACTCTCTTCCCTTTTGGCTTCTGTCCCCAGAGCCAGCCCTGCCTGCCCTGCCTGCCCAGTCTGGGGTCCCCTCCCCGCCTTCCCTGGCTCCCGCCGCTCCACCGGAACCCGACCCGGACGGGGGGAAGGCTCTGCGTTCTCCGTCATCCACGGAGCCTGCTGATGATGCAATGGGGGCGGTGCTGGTGGAGGACTCCCCCGGGGGTCGCCCAAGCCCTGTGTCGCCCGCCCATGGCGCTCAGCAGGCGGCAGAGGTGGCGTGTGCGGCCGCCGTCATGTCGGACATCCCCTGCTGTCCCATCGTCTCGCCCCTGTCCCTGGACGTGCAGACCGCCCAGGCCGCGGCCTCGGGAGGGGAGACCCTTCTCCGGCAGGGTGACCCAGCCCAGCCGCCGGTAGTCCTGCAGCAGCCATTTGCCACGCCCATGCAGTCATCAGTGGGCGGGGCCAAATCCGTCTCACAGCCGCAGAGCCCCGCCATGGCCCCACAGGTGCCCGCTTCAGGCCACGCCCCCTGCCAGCTGTCCGGGCCGGGCGAGTCCGACGGGGAGGGTCCTCCCAGGGTCGGCTTTGTGGACAGCACCATCAAGACGCTGGATGAAAAACTGCGCACCTTGCTGTACCAGGAGCATGCGCCCACACACACGCCCCCTGGGCCCCCAGAGACACCGGGGCCTGGAGCAGAGCTCGCCCCCTCTCCCTCTGGGGGGGACGGTCTGGTAAAGCTTATGGATCCTTCATTCTCACAATGATTTTAGGGGGAATGTCTACCTGCAGGGGGTTACTCTTCTCCTTGTGGTGAGACACGGCCTTTGGCTGCAGTGTCTTACTAAAGCTTAGCTCCATTTTTAAAATGTGGCTTTCTTAGCCTTTTAGAAATTAGTACTCTGACAATGGAATAGGTTCATGTTACCACTAATCTCATTGTAGTCTGACCTTAGGATATCTGTAAGGTCCCTCAATCTCACTTCTAGCATCCTCTAAAGTTTGAAATTAATATGACTGTTTCTTTGAAAGGAGTCCGTTTGCGCTCAGCAATCTGCCATTACGAAATATGAGCTTTACCATTTTTTTTCCCCCCGTGTTAGTGGTTCACACAAAGCTTTCAATCACGTCGAATTGCAGCAGAAAGTGAGTTTAGAGTCCATGTGGAGCCAGTAATGAAATGTCCGTTTGGGCACAATTAGATCATGTGGATGACATTGAATAAGGAGGCGGTCCCTCTGGGAGCAGCTGCAGCCGGTGGCCTCCTGCCTGACTGCTGGGGTCACTGTCACATGGCCAGCAGAGTTTGCCAGTCTTCTGAGGTGCTGTGCTGACCAGCCGTCCCAGGCCATCGGGCCCCGCAAGCCCCCATATTTCTGCATCTGCTCATTCCTGTTTTAACTCTGTCCCGACCAGGATTATTAGCGTTAACTGACTAAAACATTTTTGTTGGTGAGAATCATTCAAGGAAACGTAATCCAGTATGTTGCATTTAGATGAGCATTGATAGTGCCTGCAACATGGTTTGCCCATTCTGAGGACATTAATACGTAATGCACTGCATATTCATGTAGGATTCTCTGAAGATGAAACTCATAAAATAGCTTTACAAGTTTCAGTCTATCCCTAGAAATAAAATTACTAAAACACACTGAAACTGAAATATATTAAAAACTAAATAGAAATATATGTTTAAAATAAAAACTAATAAAACTAAATTGGATTTCAAATTAAAATTTGAAAATAATTTAAAAACAAAAAATAACCTAAAAAGTCAAAACTATAATAATGTTGTGCCCCACAAATTAAAGAGCCAAACCAAGGCATCCCTGAATGTTAACCAACGGAAAGTCACTGTGATTCCAGGTCTGGGTTTTCCTCATTTTCCGTCCATTCAGTCGGCCGGGGAAGTGATTTCGCTGAGGATTAGAGAGGATTACCCTTTGTCAATACAGCTGTTTCCAGATTACAGATTATTAGCCTTTGTGCCTTGGACTTAGCTGTTTGCAGCATTGGGAATTTAGCCATTTAGCACTGAGGATTGTGGGATATGTCAAGCCAGGCTTTTTCTGACGGACCTGCCTGATGTCCAGAACATTATTGTGTTTTAATGCCACTCACTTCCTGGAACGGGTTAATGGATATTTTGGCGTGAGCCCCAAGGTTAATTGTCTAAACCCCCCCCCACCCCAAGCGGATGCGTGAGCCTTAAAGCTGCTGGCTCCATTAAAATAGGAGCACAGAACACATGGCCAGCGAGGTGAGTCTGAACTGGCTCAGGTTCCTTGGCCTGCACCTCAGTGCCAAGCCTGCCTGAATGTCACTGCTCTGTGTTGCAGCCCCTGATCCCCGAGAGGACCGACAGTCTGGCTACGCTGAGTGATTCTGCTGTGGTCGGTATGTTCGTCACTCTCTACCTTCAGTCGCAAATCAGGAATCCCACAGAACGTGTCAGATTGTGTGTTGGTGTGATGTTGAACAGCTCCTGTATTGCACTGTGCTAAAAATGCAAAAGACAGGGGTTCAAATGCCCTAAAGCGCACAATTTGCAACACTTCCCTGTATTGTAAGTTGTCTTGGATGAAAGCATCAGATGAATGAAACTAAATGATGTCAATGGCAAAAGGACTGTATGCAGGGCACACGAATAACAAAGCCTGTTTTAAGAATCTGAGGAGAAAAGAATTTTAAATCTGTTATTTTTAAAGGAATAACACCCTACTAGTATAATACTAAATTCAGGAGAACTTGAATGGAAGGTTTTTCAAACCAAAGATGACGTTTAGCTTCCGCCTGCTTTAGACACCATTTGCAGTGTGATTTAATGAGGGCCCCTTCTCCCGTAGTCTAATGGTCTAACAAGGGCAGGGGCACAGATGGCACTAGGGGGACGTAATCGCTTAAGGAAACAACAATCGAGTGTCCTGCTCTGTCAAAGAAATGTTTGAAGGCTTCTGCCAATCGATTTCCTGCAGCAGCACAGACAGACTAAAAACAGAAGCCTTTAGTTAGGAGTACTTTAGGTGGCAGTTCTGAGGAGGATAGAAGTGAAGATTTCTCTGTGATGTTCTGCTCATGGACACAGTATCGGTGCCTCCTCTGCCTGCAGGTTCCACCCGGACAGTGAGTAAGAGAGACTCTGTCCCGAACTCCAGCTCACACTCCGAGTCCCAGAGCCGCTTCCAGGTATTCACTCTCTCCATTTCAGGCATTTTTCAAACTTTATTTATTTTGTAGTTCTTGGAAATTAAATCTCCTCTGTTTTTCAATCTACCACAATAGTCCTTAAATACTTAGTTGTGACTAGTTTGGTTAATCATTCTCTGTATTTAATGTTTCAGTACCTGTCCTCATTTGTTATTAACAACACATTTTACAGTGATTAAAATACATTTATCAGACAGATAGGTAGAGGGACATGGACATTGCATGTCACACATCTCCATAAATCTATGCTGTTCTCCTTACACTATATAAAATCAGGAATATTTCCTTTCAATGCAATTAAAATGTCACACATAAATGCTGGCTTGCTTTGAGCAGTAAGAATGTGGCATTGTTTTAGAGCAGGACTGTCAAACTGCAGTCCTGGAGGGCCGGAGCCCTGTGTAGCTTAGTTCTTTCCCTGTTCCACCACAAATGATTTGGCTCAAGAGCGACGTGGTATTAGTACAAGGAGTTGAATCAGGTGTGTTAAATGAGGGGAAGCCCGAAAATGTGTGTGGCTCTGGCCCTCTGACCAATTTGATACCCGTGTTTTACAGCATGCTGTGGTTCACTGAGGGTTTGTTTGTGTTTGGTCTGTCTCCCATAAGCTCGTCCCCACTCCACCGGACATAGTGAGTAGGCTGGAGCGAAACAAGAAGAGCAAGAGCACATGTGGCTCTCATGCGCCCCCTAGTGGCAGAGGTGGCTGCAGGTCCCTGTCTAACGGAGACAGTGAGGCTTTGCCCATCACCACGATTGGCAGGTTCTCAGTCATCAACACTAAAGATGACGTCACCCTGAAGACACAAAGCAATCGCTATTCCGCGCCCCCTGACTTCTACCCTGACGGTGCCCCCGCCGGCCAGGAACACAGTGCCGCACCAATGGACTGCCCGCTCCAGTCCTCGGACTCGGAGGAGGAGAACGCCTTAGCGGGGCCGGGCTCTCCTGTGCCGGCGGGTCAGACACGCCTGGAGAGCAGTGGTGCCGACTTCATGAAGAAGGCCGTGGCCTTCCTGCGCCGATCGGGCCGCGGCAGCAGTACACAGAGCTCAGACTCCCCAGCTCGACATGACGCCCCCAGTGTGCCCGTCTCGTCCCTGCACTCACACTCCTCCTACATGAGCAGTGACAACGACTCGGAGTTTGAGGACGCCGACATGAAGAAGGAGCTGCATCGACTGAGAGAAAAGTAAGCTAACTCTCAAACCGGGAATGCGGCGGACACTCTCTCACACCCTGTGGCGGACACTCTCTCACACCCTGTGGCGGACACTCTCTCACACCCTGTGGCGGACACTCTCTCACACCCTGCGGCAGATATCTTGTTAGACAGTGTTTGGGGGCTTTAACTGCATGGATGTTAACAAATTATGGTGAGTCAGTGGGTAGCACTGTCTGTCACCTGCAGTGTAAGAGGTCCAGTCCTACTCTGTGAGAGTGTGTGTGTGTGTGTGTGTGTGTGGATTAGGTTTATATTACATTGTGGGGACCAAATATCCCTCACAATGTGATTAAAAACCTGTTATTTTGACGTTGTGAGGACCATTTTTTCAGGTCCCCACAAAGATCTGTGAATACAATCAAAAAAGTAAAAATGCCAAAAGTCTCGTATTTTGTTTGGTTACTTATGGTTAAGGTTAGGGTTGTGTAGAGGTTAAGGTCGTCATGTTGGGATTAGTTTTCCCCATAGAAATGAATGGAGAGTCCTCAGAAAGACATAATTACAAACCTGTGTGTGTGTGGGTTTCTGTGTCCCAAAGAGACACTGCACCCTGGCCTTCTTTCTGCCTGTACCCTCTGCTGCCCATGATCAGCTCCCTGCACTGCATAAGCAGTTAGAAGGATGGATTAGGAGATTAGGGGTGTAACAGTACACAAAAGTCACAGCTCAGTACAAACCTTGGTTTTGGGGTCACCGTTAGGTGCAATATTGGGTACAGCAGGGAAACTAGAATTTCTTTAAATTTTTTAAAAGTAAAATTGCTAACTAACACAATTAGGAACAATTGCAAACCAAAGCGCCTGTCGAAGTGTCTGAGCAACAAAACCTAAAAGATGCTTATTTGCACATACTAAAAACATCATACAATATAAAACATTAAATTAAATGTTAAAAATTTTAAATATCATAATTGTAATGAACTAAATCCATTCTAAATCCTCTGTTCTCTACTCACAAATATGGCCTCAATTTCTGTAATGATAAAAACCCCTATAACCTATAGTTATTTTTCAGCCCAGTTAGAGCGCCTTTAAATGCCACGAAGAGACTAACTTGCAGAGGCTGTATCTGCCCTGCTCCGGTCATACAAACACTCGGATGACGTCGTCTCAAATGAGTTAGCATGTTGGATGTGTTTCCAGCAACATATCCCAGTTTGGTATAACAGAGCCAACAGACTGTTTTGGTCTTAGCAGCTACAACAGAGATATCCAGTAGTGTTGTAATTTATTGGGAAACCAAAATGCATGTTTTTGACTGACTGCAACTATCATTAGTCATAACAAACTCACAGCCACAATTAGCATGATGTTTTAAATTTTCCTCATCTACAATCATATCCAAAAGTTCTGAGAATGACACAAGTATTGGTTTTCAAGTCTGCTGCCTGTTTTTATTATGCCAATTTGTATATACTCCAGAATGTTATGAAGAGGGATCAGATGAATTGCAATTAATTGCAAAGTCCCTCTTTGCCATAAAAATGAACTTAATCCCAAAAAAACATATTTCCATTGCATTTCCTCCCTGGCACAAAAGGACCTGCTGACATTATTTCAGTGATTCTCTCGTTAACACAGGTGAGAGTGTTGATGAGGACAAGGCTGGAGATCACTCTGTCATGCTGATTGAGTTATAATAGCAGACTGGATGCTTTAAAAGGAGGGTGGTGCTTGAAGTCATTGTTCTTCCTCTGTTGACCATGGTTACCTGTAATGAAACATGTGCAATCATCACTGCTTTGCACAAAAAGGGCTTCACAGGAAAGGATATTGCTGCTAGTAAAGAGCTTTACTGCGCCCAAGAAGGTACCACAAGCGCCAGAATCATCTCCTAAAGTTGATTCAGCTGTGGGATCGGGGCACCACCAGTGCAGTGGTTGCTCAGGAAGGGCAGCAGGCAGGTGTGAGGCATAGACTTTTGGATGATGGTCTGCTGTCAAGAAGGGCAGTAAAGCTCTTTAGAGTAGTAAGCCACTTTCCTCCAAGAAAAAAATCAGGGACAGACTGATATTCTGCAAAAGGTACAGGGATTGGATTGCTGGTAAAGTCATTTTCTCTGATAAATACTTTTTCCGTTTGTTTGGGGCATCTGGAAAAACGATTGTCCGGAGAAGAAAAGGTGAGCGCTACCATCAGTCCTGTGTCATGCCAACAGTAAAGCATCCTGACACCATTCATGTGTGCGGTTGCTTAGCCCAAGGGACTGGGCTCACTCACAATTCTGCCTAAGAACACAGCCATGAATAAAGAATGGTACCAAAACATCCTCCGAGAGCAACTTCTCCCAACCATCCAAGAACAGTTTGGTGAGGAACATGCCTTTACCAATATGATGGAGCACCGTGCCGTAATGCAAAAGTGATAACTAAGTTGCTCGGAACAAAACATCGATGTTTTGGGTCTATGGCCAAGAAACTCCCCAGACCTTAATCCCAGTCTTCAAGAGGCGGGTAGACAAACAAAAACCCACAAATTCTGACACACTCCAAGCATTGATTTTGCAAGAATGCGCTGCCATCAGTCAGGATTTGGCCCAGAAGTTGATTGACAGCATGCCAGGGCGATTTGCAGATGTCTTGAAATAGAAGGGCCAAAAATGCCTTTGACACTTATGAAATGCTTGTAATTATACTTCAGTATTACCATAGAAACATCTGACAAAAAGATCTACAAACACCGAAGCAGCAAACTTTGTGAAAACCAATACTTGTGTCATTCTCAAAACTTTTGGCCATGATTGTACTTGTGAATTTAGGTTCTGATCATGTCGTCAAATCTATTCATCCGTTTCATTCTACATAACGAACTGAAAATGATCAATCTACCGAACAGTACATGAGGAATACGTGTACAGTTACAGTTCTATAGAAAATGTTGTTTTCATCATTTGACTTGCCAAAGCAGGATCTTGGCCCTCCTCTGTTTTGGACCCATACTAGCACCTCTTCACCTCTCCCGTTTGCACGCTGTCAGAATCCCAGCCGCCCCCCCGGTCTTTCTCACCAACAACATTCACACTTGTCTTGCAGGCACATGAAGGAGATCTCCGAGCTGCAGGCCCTTCAGCGGGGGGAGATCGAACTGCTCTATAAGAAACTCGGCAAGCCACTCCCTCCCGCCATTGGCTTCCTCCACACGGCGCCCCCTACAGGCCGGAGGCGAAGAGCTAGCAAGCACAAGCTGAAAGCCGGCAAGCTGCTCAACCCAGTGGTGCAGCAGCTGAAGAACATCAGCGCAAACCCCAGTGAGTGTGGACAGGGGCCGTGGGAGCCAGGCAGCCCTCGGGAGGGATGCTAGGCCTACCCACTGTGAGAGGGCCCAACCCAGAGGGGGCACGGGACCAGCTCCCTAACTGTATGAATGCCTAAATAAAGTAGAACATCAGCAGTACTACACTTGTTTATTACGAGTTATGATCTCATCACCACCACCACCATGGCATGCCGATGGGGGAACAAGCCAATCACACTCGAGGAGGGTCACCGCCACACTTGGGACGTACTGAGAGAACTATGCGTCATTTGCAGGGCCACCTGCGTGCCACGGCTTTAACGCGGCAACTTCCTGTCACGCCTCTAGACCAGTGTTGCCCAATCCGGTCCTCAGGGACCCACAGTCAGTCCACGTTTTTCTTTTCTCTGAGCTCCCTGCCACACAGTCCACGTTTTTGCTTCCTCCTGGGGATTGTCTGTGGGTCCCCGAGGACCGGATTGGTAAATGCTGCTTTAGACCTTTTCTCTGCTCTGTCTGTTTAAAAGTCATGGTGCGTTGTTTCAAATATGTTGCCCCTTCGCTGTTTATTCCAGTGTAACGCATACAGTATCATTACTAGGTGCCTAAATTTGTGTCCATGGCCTGAATACAGATCCAAGGTGGCCAGTGTGGGGTTTGGTGTTTGCAGTCGACTTGGTGTGAGTGTATGTTTTGGAAAATGGGGCCCCTGAAATCGGAATGTGGCGTGTGAGTAGTGGAAAGGGCAGTTGTCAGCCTTTTGATGGAGATTCTGATGGCGTGTTTTGCTTGGTTATGGATAAGCAAGCGGGTTTCCTGTTTCTATTTGATGGCAGGATGTATGTTTGTGTGGCGCACATATGCGTTGTGATGGTGTACGTTGGCCAACGGTGGGATCGCGTGTGCATTTGAGTGCTGAATGTCGACCCCTGTGTTTGTATGGTACACCTGTGCATTGTCTTCCTGAAGGTGAGACCGCGCTGCCCCCTGCTGACTTGTCAGCCAAAGTGTCGGGGCTGGCGGACGGCGAGGCCTTCCCCGCGGCCGGCACCCTCCCCGCCTCAGCCTCGGAATCCGTGCAGACCCAGCAGCCCTGCTCTCTGAAAGGCTCGCTCTCCTCCGACAACATCTATGCCGGTTTTCAGAGCGAAGGCTTAGGGGCCCACAGCGGGTTAGGCCAAGGTACCCGCCGACCCCTGCACCCCCTCCTCTCTCATACGCACGTACACATGCTGCACCCCCTCCTCTCTCACACGCACGTACACATGCTGCACCCCCTCTCACACTCGGACACGTGCGGACCAGCCACACTCCACAGCATGCAGCAAACGTTGGATAACACGCTTAGCCAGAGCGGCACGTTGGCAGGGACTGTACCCGGTGCCACGCGTGCCAACTCCAATCTCTGGGTAGTTAGTATGTCGTCTTCTGACACCTTAGCCTATGAGGGGACGCTTCTGACCAGCGTGTCAGTCTGGCTCCACAGATGACTGGTCACTGTGAAGAGGGTGGGACCTACGACAGGTGGAGTTCAGTGGGTTAGCGTGTCTGGGTCCCCAAGTGTCATTCCCCAAAACGTTCACACTCCCATTTCCATCCCTCTCTTTTATTTTTTCATTCGGCACATGCTGAACATGCCAGCATAGCATCTTTAAATCGAGGTCCCTGGTGGGGAGGTGAGGTCTTCACTCCTGGCCCTGTAGGACTGCAGTAGGGGCACAGGAGGCCCCACAGTGTCTAACTGAGCAAATTGGGGGACCTTCAGTGTCTGCAGTTATGACCTTCGGTAAAAGTGGTGCCAGGCTTTGCTCTCCAGGACCAGGAGTAAAGGCTTCCCCGAGTCCGTCGTACCACACGCGTGTGAATCCGCAGACGCGTCACACACTCTTTAACATGTGGTCCACAAGCGCTGACCTGACCTCTGACCCGGGGCTCTGTGGCTGTGGGGGGGCTGAGGGCCCCACGGGGCTCTGGAGGGAGGGGCTTTTTCATGCCAGCTGTGTGGACTTCACAAGTCTCTCTGTTTCTTCTCTTCTTCCCTCTATATTTATTTGCAGGCTGGACGGTTTACCACCAAACTCCAGAGAGAGTGACCTATAAATCTAGTAGCAAACCACGTGCTAGATTCCTCAGTGGACCTGTCTCTTTGTCCATCTGTTTGTATTCTTCTTTATACCTTCCTTCATTTCCACTCGCTTCCTCTTTGATTTGACCTGCTTTTTGTCATTTCAGCAGGCCGCCTGACTCATTCCTCTCCTTTGTTTTTCTTTTTTCCTTTTCTTTAATAACTTTTATAACCTTTACCCTGCCTTCTGCACTGTTGCTTTCCCTTGGGTTTTTTCTCCCCATAATGCCCTTGTTCTTTTTGTTCCCCCCCCCCCCACCCCCATACAAATGCTTTTGTGCACTCTGCTTCTGGCCTCTGGACACCAAAAGCATATGTGGAAGAGCTCGTCTTCTTCTCTTAAGCGTGGGCAGTGATGTCGAATCGGACCCCCCCCCCCGCCCCCCCCACCACCAGCCTGTGTGCCAAAGCTTTTGTATCCCTCGTCTCTGTCTGTTCAGTAATCCTTTTGATTTGCGATTATGAGGCGTGTCCAAAAACACAAATAATAACTTGGAAGATGCCTGGCCTCCGGTTGAAGAGCGATCTCTTTCACACATGTTTCGGACTTTGAAGACGTGCATGTGACAGGCCGATACAGAACTAGGAAGGCACTGATGGGCACTTACTCCTTGAAAAGGGCTGTATTTCAATATTACTACTTTTTAATACAACTGTCTACTCTGTTGCTTTCCTTGCATGACAAAAATGCTGATACAGAAGTGCTCCAGCCAGTGACCGTCCTCTTCCAATTGGCATCTCATATGCTCTTAACAGTGCTCCTCTTCCAGTCCCTTCCACCTGACCTCTAAAGTGCCCCTCTGCCCCGCATTATGCCCCCAGAGGCACATGTCACCGAATTGGTTGAGAATAATCTGGCTGGAGCACTGCGATTTTTGCTGTCCAGTATGACATCCACTAAATGTAGCGGTAGCTCTAATCGTAGTCTTTAGAGCAGTGTTTCTCAACCCAGTCCTCAGCGAACCCCAGCCAGTCCACATTTTTGCTCCCTCCCAGCCAATCAGGAACACTGAATAGCTGGTACAGGTGCGCTGGGAGCTGAGAGGAAGCAAAAACGTGGACTGGCTGGGGTTCGCTGAGGACTGGGTTGAGAAACACTGCTTTAGAGGATCAATACATAGATGTTCTCGCTCTGCCGTTAGTGTTTAAGAGCTGAGGATAATCTATTTCTTTGTTTGTTGTTGCTTTTACTATGTTTTTAAATAGATCACTCAAATAGGTCCTTTTCTCAGTCACTGACTCGTAATTTTTCCTTTTGTCTACCCATATAAATTCATTGTTATCTGTTTAGATTTACAATTAGCTACCAATGATACCTTGAGGAGTTTTATCCTGTTTTTGCACTGTAAATGAATGAGCAGCTTTCATCTATATTTAGATTTATTGATATTTGTCTGGAATGTTTTATTTTTAGTTATTTATTTTTTGCATGGATGATTGTGTTTATGTACCTCGTTAAACCCAATTACAGGGGTTATGTTTGTATTCTGGTAGCATACGTTTTGAGAAATAATTTGAAATAGTTTTTCCCTAAGTTCCAGTAGTGCTAAATGATGACAGAGCTCATCGAATGGGCTCACCCCAATATCATTTTTGCTGCAAGAGACCTGCTTACTTTTAATAGCACAAGTTTATGAAGAATATGAGCCCTTTATTACAGCATCCGAATCACTGATTATAACCCCCCTCCCCCCTTTCAGTTAATCTTAATTTCATTTAGTTGAACTTTTTGTTAACACTGGCTGTATGTATTGCTTTGAAACAGCTTGTCCACCGATCTATCTGGTTCCGTCTGTCGAGGCCTAACTCTGTGTGTGTCTTGTACCTCCCCTTATAGGGTCAACCCTGAAACGACTATGTCTAGGCAAAGAGCGGAGTAGTAGTAACTATCTCATTTACTTCTTTCCTTGTTCCACTTGGCATGAGCAGTCTGATGTGATTATTGTGTCACAAAGTCCATGGCTGTTCGAACGCTGAGAAGTGCGCACAGGGTGTGTGTCACGTCATATCCGTGAGCGTAGTCTTCTCGCCATTTCTTTGCTTTTTCATTCCTCCTAGTGCATGAAAACGTTAGACCGTCTGTTTTGTGCATCAGTGTGACCTTTCTTTTTGTATCAGCATTAAGGTATGGCTGTTCGCTGCTATGTTTGGTGGAGTAGAGTTTGGGAGCACAGGATTCCCCTAATTTATTAAAAGGATAACTAATTGAAATGGCTCTCCAGCGTTTAAATGAAATATCCTTTTAGACCTTTTGCATATATACTTGGAATAGACAAGCTTCAGTAAGATTAGTTCGTAATGCTTTACCTAAACTGCACTTTCATAATGCATTCAGTATGCAGTCATCCAGTGCACCCTCATAATTTATTCTTAGAACATTCATGTCAATCTGACATGTAATTATATCTTAACATCCTAATTTAACAGCCTTAATATACATTAATAACAAACATTATGTGACAATAACAAGCATAATAATTTTGTAATTTTATGATGTTGGTTTTCAATGTATGTTAAAGCTGTGAAGGTATGTTAGGATGTTAAGGTATAATTACATGCTGCTTATTAAGGTGCACTGAATATTATAAAGACATTATGAAGGTGCAGTTAATGTAAAGCGTTACCGATTAGTCTTTCAAAGAAGAGTTGGAATCGTCTTTTCTCTGAGCAAATCAGCTTAAAAACACTCAAAAGTGTGCAGTAGAAGAGACCACTGCACATGCAGTGGAATCGTGGTTCCTTGCTATATACATTTAGTTAACTGGGGCAGACATCGTCCACTGTTTATCAGACTCTGAAGATGTGACATGTATGCAAAAGGCGCTTGTGGTGTGTTGCTCTGCCCCTAACTCTGTGGAGTGCAAATTCAGGAGCCACCTGTCTTACAGGGTCCCATCACGGCGGCGGGGCGACTGCGATGACCTCCCAGCACAGCCAGCAGCAGGCCCCCCCGGCCAGCTCCACGGCCCCCCTGCCACAGCCGCTGGCAGGTCTCACCCAGGCTCAGACCAACAACAGCAACAACAAGAGCGCCACCTTCACGGACGATCTGCATAAGCTGGTAGACGACTGGGCCAAGGAGACTCTGGCAGCCACGCAGGCCAAACCCCCCGCCAACCAGAGCAGGGAGCAGCAACGACGGCGGCGGCACGGGCGGGGCCTGGACACCAGAGCCACGCCCATGGGCACAGCAGCCAATAAGGTGATTGGAAGGGGATTGAGCAATAAATAAGTGTCACACTGGCGAAACTTGCAGGGGGGCACATAGAGGAGGGAGTAAAACATGAAGAATTGAAGGAGAACTCTTCAGGATTTGTTCAGTTTAAATCTTTTCAGTATAATTAACGTCATTCTTTTAATTTCATTTCTGTGGATCCTGTTTTAGTATATCAGATATATGGGAACAAGCCTCTAATCCTGAATGATAGCTTATGCCAGGAACCTTTTAGGGGACAACTCCCTGTTTGAAACCCTCATAATTAAAAATCAAGTAATGAAACATTGAAAGACCCTGTAGATCACTCCCTAACGTTGGTTTGCTGGTCATTTACCATGATTGTATTGTTTGAGGTTCAGTTTCTATGACATACCTGTATGGCAAACCATCTGTGTATTGCATCAACTGCAACATGATTGACCAAAACTTTGATAGTGTATAAGACTATAGGAGCATCTGCTGAAGTTCAGAGTGTAATCACAACGTTTTGCACTTTCACAAACTGAGCTTTTGTGATACTAAACATATTTAACAATGGAATAGATTCTGAGTGACCGTGTAACTAGTGGGATACATCCCACCAGGCTTAAACTGCATCACCTGAAATCCCTCCACATGGGTGAAGAAGTTTCTCCTTTTTTCACAGGTTAAGTGCAATAGCACGCAGAGCGCAGCAAAGTATCAGCTGCCGCTCTCTTGCCCAATGACAGCGGCTCTGGCCCCTGCAATTGCCCCAGGGATGAGCAGCAGCCCCTTCACGGCCGTGCCACCCAGCTACGTGGCACCGTCCTGTCCCTTTGGAAGGGTTCTGCAAGCACCCATGTCTACAATGCCGTGGCCAGGCTTGGCCTGCCCTGGGGGCCCTGTGGGAGTGCTGGGCACCTCGGGGGTGGTGCCATTCCCGTCTATGGGCAACCCCGCCTTGCACTCCTTTCCCATTCCTTTGCGAAACCCAGTCAGCCCACCCAGCCCCAACATGAGGACTACCTGACTGCATTCTGTCCTGGTCCCTGTTCTCTGCATCAGCACAACCTACCATCAGCCAGTCCCGTCACATGATCCCACCTTAAAGACCACCTACTGTTAGCCAGTTCCTGTCTCATGACCCCCACCATAAGGACCACCTAGCTCCAATCAGTCCCTGCCGCATAATCATACCCAGAAGACCACCTAGCTTCAGGCAGTCCCTGTCACATGATCCCACCCAAAGGACCACCTAACTTTAGGCAGTCCTTGTCACATGATCACACCCTAAGGACCCCCTAGCTTCAGACAGTCCCTGTCACATGATCCCACCTTGAGGACCACCTACCAGCAGCCAGTCCCTATTATATGATGATTCCACCGTGAGGACTAGCTAGCTTCAGTCATTCCCTGATACTTGATCGAGGGACCATGTAGATTCTCTCCATCCCTGCGCCGTGATCCAAACATGACCTCCGCCTGGCTTCAGTCTTTCCCTGGCCAGTATTTTCCGCATGAAAACTCAGACCTGCGCCTAGGTCAGGTGTCATTGGCATTTCTCTGCAGTGCACTCACCTGCAGATAATTTCAAGGGTGTAAATAATTGTTCTGTGTAAATAACCTGCGTGCGTGTAGATTTGTGTGCTGTTGGGTTTGATCTTACTTGAGCACATAGCCATACTGTGTGTACATTTTGTCATGCAATCACTGTGAAATGTTCCCTCAGATTTTGCCATTGTTTATTTTAGGCCATTGTCATTTCAGACTTTTAATTAAAATGAAATGTTCATATTTGAAAACACTATTGCTTGAAATTGTAAAAGATTTTCAATAACTTGAACTTATTTTAAGGTGAATTACCCTGCAAGAGTGTTGTGCCTTGAACAGAGCTTTTTCACGTCATAAAAGTATGGAAACATTTGGTTGTCTTTATCTCACATTGGTTCATGGTACATTGTTGGTTGATTTTTATGCATTGAAAATAAACAGATTTGTGGTTTACATCAAATGCCCTTCTAGCACTGCACTATTAACACTGTAGAAGCTCTTACTATAATAAAATTCAGCATTGTTTTCTTGGATGAGATCAAAGTTAGCAGAGAAGTAAGTTGCCTTTTGGGATGCTCGCTGGGGTACAACCTAACCCGAGGCTTTCAGTAACTAAAGTAGCTACACATTTTGCTTCTTGTTTTGCCACATGGCAACGGGTAACTATTTGATGACTTAGGGGAAGGTTACGAGAAACAGAGAATGTAGCAGCTCATTTGTCTAGAGGTTTCTTGTCTGAGACTTAAGTGCAATTGTGACGATTCACAGAGCTTGTGTTGCTGCCTTCTGAAATGTTTTTCAAAAATAGATGTTAGGTTCTTTTATTTTGTTGATTTTAAGCATCGAGCACACAATATAAATGCATCACTTAATTTGTCAAATTGTGTTTTCTCAGGACACAATTACCTTTAAGGAAATATTTATCCATTCTTTTTTTTTTGGGGGGGGGGAAGAAATGCAGTCACTGTGGTTATTTACTGATTATTTAATTTGTCATTAAGGTTAATTTCAATGCTGCTAGTTTGTCCACTGTGCTCCTGCCATAAATGGGAAAGATTAATTAGTCTGCCTCTGTTAATAACACAATATGCATGATTATTTGTCAGTAGGAAGTTCTGTAATATATACACCAATGAACAAAACTTTACTGTGTCAAAGAATCTAGACTAAGTTTCTGTTCCCCTGAAATTGTAATTTTATAGTATTTGGCCACGTGGTCCTAAGTTACTTCCCTAAAAGAGATATCATGTTTTATGATTATCTACATTTTGCATTCATTGCCGGTGAATCTGATGTCTGTGAAGCTGATCTTACTTCAGTCCAGGCTGAAAATGGTTATATGAGGAAAAGTGGCACTTGTCTGTTTTCGGTCACTGATTTTAAGTGTTATTTCTTTGTCTTTATCTTGTTCCATAGATACAAAAGTAAGTCAATAAATACAAGGAAATTGCACAAGATCAATTACAAATCTTTATTTATGCCACATTGTGACAAGGGCCCTTTATTTCAGTATGTTGAAGGAGACTGACCAAAAGCTTACAATACAGTTCGTACTGTATTTAGTTAAATTTTGGGTTCAGATGCTCATTGTCATGAAATATTTTCTACCACAGGCTGAAAGGCATCACTGTCTTGTCCTGTCAAACTGTGAGTTGTACAGTTCTCATGTAATTCAGATTTTTGCTTTTTCCTTTTCTGTATAATACATCAATTCGGTTTGAATTGGATTTTTATAGACTATTATGCAGAATCTAACGTTATGGCAAAATACTTCCAATACTGATAGATTTCTGTTCTCTGTTACATGAGATACGCATCTATTGTACATTCGCGAACGCTACATAAGCAAACATTGAACTTGGTTTAAATCCCTGAAGCTTGCACTGAAATTTTGTGTGGAACTGCTTCTGCCTGCTGTATAGTCCTCTGGCATTTTTTGGACCCAATTATCAGTGCTCAATCACAAAGACTGTACATGTTTAAAGTAATGAATAAACATATTTTATGCCCGAAACTGCGTCCTCTCTATATTAGGAGAAAATCTTAAACTAATTTAGAGTCATTGTTTTCTTATATAATCTGTCCCAAATTAACTTGGAACAGCTCGCCATATAATACATGTCTTGGTAAGAACTTTTCTAAACTTTCACGTTATTTTTACCTTCGCCACTCCGTTTATTAGCCTCGAATATTTTCCTTGTGTGCTTAATGCGTTTGTCTTTATTTAATAATGCTCTTGCTCATCTTGTTTTTTTCAGTTTATTTTATATTTAACCCCGTCTGAAGCGCTAGTTCGAAGTGTTAAAATATGTAATATAGAGATTTTGCTTTCTGGTGTTTGTACATATGTTCACCTGTACGTAAATGACATGCGGATACTTTTGTTGAATTTAACATCAAAATCGTTTTCCCTACATGTTAATGTCTTTTGCAAAAATACCACAAAAATCATGCTGTTTGACGATATTCATTTTAATATTTTTTTTAAAATTAGCATCCATTAGTACTTTGATTTTACTTCCCATGTGGAGTACCAGGAAAACGCCTGATCTCTCGGGTGTATTGACCAATATTTAAATTTGTGGCGCAAACTGCTTTCGCCCGTCGACGTATCCACTTTCGCTGATTCACTTTTGCTGAAATCTGTACATTTTTACACTAACTAACACGACACATGCTCGTGCGTTCTTCTACGTGGATTAAAAATGTTTTAAAGAAGCGCCGCGGGAATTATCTGCCCGCTTATTTAACCCGCATCGGTGTCAGGAATGTGTTTGCGGTGCAAAACATAACGCCAGATTCGCCACGAGGCGCAAAGAATAGGAAAAAACAGCAAACAAAATTATCGCGAGAGGCAGGTATTACTTTGTTGAATATCTACTACAGCCTTCCATTTAACAGTAATTGTATAACGCATAACTGTAACTTGTGTATGCGCTTCTGTAGGTGATACAAAAATGGGGGAAGATAAATCGCTTTTGTCGAAAGTGCCCACATGCGCCCATGGCGATCAGCAGCACTGGCTTCCCTTTTGTTCGCATTGCTCTGTTCTTATTCTCTTCACAATGAATTCGTCCTGATTTGGAGGATCGCTTTTATCTGATTTAATTTATCGAATCCGATTGTTAAAAAGAAAGGGCATTCCAGTCATGATTCCCGGTGAGAGGTTTTAGGCTGCTACACGGGCAGGATGTGCCTGCAGTTGTGAGTATTATTATTTATGAATTCATACGTTCGCCGAGGTTGCGTGCCGTTTTTGGAGACAAATGGGGCAGTGTGATCATATGCACCTAAGTGTTTTTAAAAAGCAATTCTGGAGGTGTTTTGATCGTACGTATTAGCCGTCGCATGCTGAGCCCCGTATGGCTAACAGGGTCTATAGTCGGTTAATGGTGGCTGAACGCGTATGGCTATGGATGTAGCTAACGTTAACAAATATTTCGTGATAATGACTTTACGAACTACTACCCGCTCACTTGCTTCGAAGGAAGAGGGAAAACGTTTTAAAAGCCAAACTTGATAGCAGTCAGTGTCAAAATAAATCCTGGAAAATGGTTCCGATCTGGAGGGAAAACAATGTATCCCCTGCCGTATTAAGTAAACGTGTGTTGGATTGTGGTAACATTGTTTTTCCATCCCCATACTTTTCTCGTTTTTGTTTGTTACGAATAGTGACTATTTACCCAAATAAATTAAATGTTTAGTGCGGAACGTGCTGCAGACACCGCGCGGAAAACTCGCGCGAAAGACGGCGGCAGCCGCATATTAGCAGAGCGCGCCGCTGCTAACTTTAACTTCCTAGTTACTAAAACAAGTTATTCTGTCATGTTTGTAAGTTCCGGCCGCTGTTTTAAATACCAATAAACAGCGTTTCGCCCTGGCATCCCTCGCTCCAATAACCCAGAGTCCGTTTTTGCTTTGTTTTCCTTCGAAAGCTGCCACCGAGCCCTGCTGGGTGGCAGGTAGACCGACTCGGGACGCGGCGCGGTGCCGCTCATTCTCCCCGAACCGTCGCCTCTTCTCCACCGCCACTGTCAGCAGCGAAGCCGCCGGCGCTGCGCTCGCCGTCGGCCGTGGGGAGAAAGCGTCGGCTCGGCGTCACCCATGAGGCCGCCGAGTTTTGAGTAAGGAGCCGGTGAGTAACTTATCTTCGTTCCGAACGCCGTATTTATACTACCATCTTTAAAGAGGTGTGTAATGGCCAGTCCGTGGCAAGACTTGTGTGTGTGTGTGTGTGTCCGTGGTTAAAAACCAAACCTACATAGTTTTAAAAAAATAAATTTATGGTTAAAAGATTAATTTTGATAATGATGTCCGTCAGAATTTGCCATGGCGTTCACCAGCTGCCGAACATACACAGCCCGAACTGGGAATCCCGGTTTCCAGTTGGATTTCCTGGCATCATACCATTCTTCTTTTATCCCGAAGACCCAAACGGTGCCGATCTTGTTGGTCAACGGCTCATGTTGGTGAAAATTAAAAAAAAAAAAAAAAACTCACGTGTTGGAAAACCGTAATATTTGTGGTCGCACTCCTTATTGTACATTTCGTAGCCATACTGGTTTTTGCAGTTAGCCCTAACTAATTCTCGAAACAGCCTCTGTCTATTTTAACATTTTTTGCGTAATAACTGGAAATCATCTAGATGTATTTGTGCTTTTGGTTTGTGTCAGTCGGTGCTGGCGCGAGGTTTACAAACTCTTTCTCAGTACATGATATCACACATTAATTTAAAAGAAATTTGCAGGAACTTTTATTTGCTGTTTGCATACCGTAAATCTTTCAGAAGTGTTTAATATGTAAAAGGCTTGCCAGAGTTTCATGTTTGTGAAAACTGCTCTAGGTGTAGATTTTGACACACTAGAACAGATTTTGTAGAATTTTCTTTTATATAGTCCCATCAGCTTTATGTTCTGCAGTTAACATGGGATTGTTTCATCCCAGTTTTAATAGCCTGGCCACTGCTGTTTCAGAATTTGAATCCTGGTCCATTGTGAGATTTGGGATGGAGTGAAAGGGGTAGCATGGACCAGTGTGGACACCCTAACCCTGTCTTTGCTCCTTGCTCACTTACAGATGTAAGGTGCCCAGATCCTTTTTCCAGCCATTGGCATCATGGGACTGGATTTTGATGTAAAGACTTTCTGCCATAATCTGCGGGCCACCAAGCCCCCGTACGAGTGTCCCGTGGAAAGTTGCCGCAAGGTCTACAAGAGTTACAGTGGCATTGAATACCACCTCTACCATTACGACCATGACAACCCTCCGTCTGCACAGTGCACGCCACAGCGAAAACGGAAGGGCCGCCCACCACGGGTATCTGGGCCGGGGGTGGAGGATGGCGACGGGGATGCAGAGAAGGGGAGTGGGGCTGGGTGTGGAGGCCAGGGGGTCACCCCCGGCAGTCCCGGCTGCTCAGAGCACTCACACTCCCCTGGACGGGAAGCCATGACCTACGCGCAGGCCCAGCGCATGGTGGAACTGGAGATTCACGGCAAAATGCACCGCATCAGCATCTTCGAGAGTCTGGATGTGGTGTCCGAGGACGAGAGCACTGAGGAGGATGCGCCCTCCACAGGGCCTGGCTGCAACGGCGGGGAGAACGGTGGCGGGAGCGAGACGGGGGCTGGCAGTAATAAGGACCGACCCGACACCCCCGCCGCCAACGGTGGGAAGGGCACGGCCACGCCCAAGTCCGGTAAGCACAAGAGCAAAGAGAAGAAGAGGGAAGGGAGCTCGGCTCACCATCACAGTCACAGCATCCCCACGGGGCCCGCAGTGAAGCTTCCAGAGGTGGTGTACCGTGAGCTGGACCAGGAGCAGCCCGACGCCCCCCCACGACCTTCATCCTACTACAGGTAAGAGCTGCTCAGCGATGGTCGTAGGAACCACAGTGCTATGCATATTATCAAAGGCATGCTCTTCTGGTAGATCTGATGAAGTATTTTTGCATGAACAGCTGTTAAAATGTGATCTGATCTTCTAAATCATGATAAAGTCAAATGGTGCACGTGTTTTACATGGCCACATCTTTATTAAATGGATGGTTTAAAAAAATCTACGGAAAATGTATATGAATGTGTGTGTGTCATCTTCATTCACAGTTACCTCAACCAAACACTTTCAGCGACATGACAAAAGGGCCAAAATTTATTAATTCAAAAGTTACAGTTCATGTGTATCTTTAGGACGTGTTGCTTGATTGGACTATTTTGGGTCATTGTCATGTTCCGTGACCCACCTTTTCAGCTTTACATCTGACAGGCGCCTTGACACACTACTGTAGAATTTCCTGATACTTGAAATTTATTTGTCCCTCAAGTATAGGAGTCCTTCATCATTCTGTTCTTTCCACCATGCTTCACAGCTGGGGTCAGACTTTTCTGTTTGTATGCAATGTTTTGGTTTCTCCAAACATGGCACCCTCTGTATTCACCTAAACGTAATACTTCTGTTTCATTTGTCCACTGAACTTTTGGGTAGTCGGCAAGCTTGAGACAGACGGCACTCTTGCTCATTGTTTCTTCTTCATCTTATAGTATGCCAGACATTATCAAGAGTCAAGGATCATCCATTTTTATTTAAATATACACTTACACCTGAGCTGAACACCTGACTACAGTTACATTCTTTTTTTCTTTAAAAAAAATATCCATCACATAATTTCCCCTAAAGACTTTGTTTTATAAGTTAGTGCAGTGAAGTCATGACAGGTTGCATTTTTGCTATATTTAAATAAAATCAGTAGTCATAATCAGATGACATTTTTTAAGTCATTCAGGCAGAAATCTAAATTATTCCAAAAGGTTCACAAACTTGCAACCATACTCTTACCCCTTTTATTGAAGACTATGAAAATCTATATCAAAATGCCTCATGCCCCCCCCCC